TACAAAAAAGTTATGAAATGGTTATAATTAATATCACTTCATTATATGATGAATTCAAATAGTTGAATTTATGTTTATTTAAAATTAAGCAAGAGTTGTTATTTAATTAGTTATTCTTCAAATTCCTCCAATGTGGTGGAACTTGAAAATTAAGCATATGAAGGGTTTTGGAGGGTTGCAAAAGTCTCTCAAAACCATCCCCAAAAATGTTCCCCTACCCTCTAAAACTCAGCTCCCAAACATACCCTAATAGCCTTTGTGAGGGTGGGACAAAACGGTTTGATTCAATTGAATCGAACGAATCAAACGAAAATGGGTACTTTGATTTTGTTTGAATTTACTGAAGTAAATTGTTTGATAATAATCATCTCCCTCTTTCTTTTCCTCTATATTTAATAGGAATACAAATCATTCTTCGGTGTATACATGAATAAGATCAATACCCTATATCATCGTTCAAATAAAAGTTCATATTTCTCTCCTTTGCATTTTTTCTTTTTCCATCTCTCTCTTCTCTCTCATCTCTCTCTTCTCAATTTACACTTTGTTCCTCACCCTCTCTTTACTCTCTTTTCTATCTTATCTTAGTTCACCGATCACCGTCTCATTGTTTTCCATCCAAGCATCCCACCTATTTCCCAATTTGTAGAAGCAAAGATGAAGATAAGTGTTGATTATGTAGAGTTGTCATCTCACTGTTTTCCATCCAAGCATCGCTGCTATTTCCCAATCCGTAGAAGCAAAAATGAAGATGAAGGCTGATTGTGTAGAGGTCTGGACGATGTCTCGTCGTTTTCCATCCTAAATCGATAGCAGCTATTTTCACATCCACGAAAGCGAAGATGAAGCTGATGTTGTAGGGGTATGTGTTTTGATATAACAATAGTAATTCGACTGAGAATCTTACTAAATTAGTAAAAAATGATCAAGAATTGATCAGAAAGCTTTATTTCATTAATGGAGTGTTCACAGAGAAAATACATGCACCAATGAGACAGTTAGATCGAGAAGTCTCAGATCTACCAGCTCATTCTAACCGAATACCAACCTATTTTCCCTTCTCTGCTTTCTATTGTTTATATTCTTCTCTTCCCTTAACAGACTTGCCAAATCAACTAACTAATTAACTGCTATTCTTTCCCCCTTATGCGATGCACTTTATCATAGTATTTAATAGCATTATTAGTTATATACATTCCATTCGTATTCCTATCAATACTCCCCCACTGAAAATGCACCTTGTCCTCAAGGTGAAAGTATGGAAATTCATCTTCAATCATTTGTAGTGTCTCCCATGAATTTTCAAAGTATGGTAGATCCTTCCAATGTATCAACACATCTGTTTCCCCTTCTGAATGGATCATGGAGTCCATCACCTCTCCAGGTCAAATTTGAAGTTCTCACTCTTCATTTAAACATTTGTGGATAGGTTAACAGGGAATGTTAGGAAATAAAACCTTCTTAAGTAAAAAAATATGGAATACAAGATGTATTTTGCTGCCCTATGGTAGTTTCAACTTAAAAGCTACTGAATTGGACTCAATTGCAGTTTATAGGGTTGATCTTCAAAAACACCTTGTCACCTACTTCCAACTGCACGTCTCTCCTATGTTTGTTGGCCTATTGCTTCATCTAATTTTGGACAGTAGCTAAGTTCCCTTTTAACTCTTCTAACATGACATTTCTCTTAGATGTGAGTCTTGATACTTCTTCTATGGCAGTGAGTGTTACAAACGTTTAATGATTGCTGGAGAGATATGTGGTAATTGGTATTGTACCAGAATTCAGCCCAAGGCAATCACCTAGTCCATTGTCTAGGTTTCCTTCCTACTAAGAAGCACCTTAGGTCAATCTCTAGACATCTATTGACCACTTCAGTCTAATGATCAGTCTGAGGATGGCATGTTGTACTATATTTTAATTGAGTCCTTGTCAGTTTGAATAACTCAGACCAGAATGTGCTTAGAAATAAAATGTCTTTGTTAGTGACAATGGATTTAGGAAACCCATGTAGTCAGACCACTTCTTTTATGAACAATTCAGCTACTTCTTTGGCATTGAAAGGATGTGAAAGAGCCAAGAGGTGAGCAAATTTGGTCTGTCAGTCTGTTTACTACTTACTACCAATATAGTGCCTTTCCCTTGTGCCTTGGGTAGCCTCCCTATGAAGTTCATGTTGATATTTTTTCAAATATTATTTGGAATAGGTAGTGGCTAGAATAAACATGCTAGTTTGAGAGCTTGATATTTGTTTCTTTGACAATATCACATCACTGGACATGTTTTATGATGTTTGTTCTCATTCCTGGTCAATAGAATAGATTAGATATCCTCTTCATTTTTCTTAAATATCGTGGATGGCCAACTATTGCTGAATCGATATTGTTTCAAAACTCTGGCTACTCTAGGGGATTCTTTTGGTAACCTCAACTTCTTTTATAATATAGCAATCCTCTAATAAACTAGAAATCATGAAACTTATCAGGATGAGATATAAGCTTCTGAATCTTTTCTTGGCATTGGAATCCTTTGCTATCTTTTCATCTAACCCTTCCCATTCCTGACAAGTCACAGTGGACAAGGAATGTAGATTAGGTTTTCTGAAAAGGACATCTACAGCTTTAAAAAAGGAATAAAGATTGATTCGAGGTAATTAAATTTTTGGGATTGATCAGACTTAATCACATTAAGATTAAGAAATAATGGCCCGCATATGACTCCTGGCCTTTTGTATTCCAAAAACATGACTCAAAACTGATTTTCCAAAAAAGTGACCCATCCCCTTTTGCCGCATCGAGCTTCTTCTCCCCTTCGCACATCAAGCTTCTTCTCCCCCATCACCGAATCGAGCATCTATTCCTTCTCAGCTCTCCTTCGCAGCTTACACAATCCACTATCTTCTCCTTCTTGCTTCATTCGCCTACGGTGCTCTTCTTCTCCTCTTCGTCGCCGCTCTTCTCCTCCTCTTCAATTCATCGCCTTCGGTGCTGCACACTTCATCGACTTACCATCTTCACTTTTCTTTTCCTTCTTTCTTCTTCTCTTTCACTGATGGTGAGGCATGGTGTGTTTAATTATGGATCTAGGTTTTCGACAGTGAGAGAAATCGGATCAGAGAGGTTGACATGGGGGTTGTGAGGATGCTGGTGGACTGTGGGGGGGGTGGGCTGGGCGGCAATTGCGGGGGAGGGGTTGGGGAGGGGGCTGGTGGGCTCGGGAAGGGGTTGGGGGGTGGTGGGTTGTGGTGGGGCTGGACAGCGGGCTGGTGGGTCGTGGTGGGGCTGGACAGGGGTTGGTGGGTTGAGGTGGAGCTGGGGAGGGGGCTGGTGGGCTAGGGAGTGGCCGGTGCAGTCATGGTTAGGGCGATGATTGTTAACAGTGGTGGTTGCATGGGTGGCGGTTGATCGGCCGTGGTGTTGGCGGCTGCAAATTTGCTCACCAGAAACAGTCATAGTGACATGTTTTCCGGCGGCCGTGACGTCTGTATGTACGAAAGTGACATCAAAATCGGATAGTGACATTAAAATATGTAGTGACACGAAAAAATGTGATCGACGGGGCACTGGCGGTGGAGTACAGTTTCGCCGAAAAAGGTTGCTAGAAAATTTTCGACGGTTTTAATGACATTAAAATCTAATAGTGACACACGATAGTGACTTAAAATCTGGCAGTGACATAAAAAAGCAGTGACATCATGTTTTTCCATATATGTGACCTTGTTGGTCACATTTTTGTCCTTTTCAAAAAATGGTCATTTTTTGGAATTTGGTTTCAATTTAGTAATATTCAAATAAAAAGCCCTAAGATTAATTTATTGAGCAACTCTATCAATACTAAATTCTTACTGGTCTCGCAGCGTAGATTACAACGAGAAACGATTTTTCTAATTTTATCAAGAATGACAAAACAAGTCTTGTCCATTCATGTTACTAAAAGTTGTCATGGAACAAAAGTTTTTAATTAAGCCGACAACGTCCTAACTAATTATAAAACGAGGTTGAGTGTGCAATCTCTTGAGCTCGTGTGTTCCCTCGATTGATTGAAGGCCCATCGACGAATTTAAGAAATAAACATAGCACCGCCCGCCCACTTCATAGGAGAAACGACAAGCGACACCGGAAGCAGAAGTTCCAAAGAGTAGGAGACTAGGAGCCTTTTTGTAATTGAAATTCATGTAACACTTTTAATTGAGTAACTTTTTTATAATTGTACAAGTCTATTTAATGTTTAAATTAACTTATACTGCATATTTCATTTTTTTGAGAGATATTTGAGATAAATACATATTTCATTTTTAATGTGTATCGTCTTTTGTTTGTATTACACTATTAATAAAATATTTTAAATAATTTAAAATTATATATAAGTCGGAACCCATCTGAGACTAGGTCCGGGTACCCAGAACCGGACCAGGACCCGTCATATCAGGGTTGGTTCCGAGCTTCAAAAAAAGGAACCGGGACCGGATCCATGCGACACATATGAGAAACTTGGGTAAATTGTTGTATGCCAGATTAGGCCAAACTTGAAGAAACCAAACCAAATTTAGATGATGACGATGATGATAAAAATAATAAAACACACATAATATTCAACCTTACTAAACTGTATTAGGCCGTATTTAAACAAACTGAATCAAAATTAAATAAAACAGACCAAACCAAATCAAACAAGTTTAAACCAAACCTGGAAATAAAATTCCAGAAAAATAAATACTTACAATACAGTTTAAGTCAGACAAATAATGGAAGTAGAGTTCGAAAGTCAAAGAGAAGCAGCAGTGGAAAATGACGAAGCCACAATGGAATGGCATAGCGAGATGAAAAATGAACATTATAAATGACATTTGTGCAGCTCTGGACAAACTTCTTATCCATTTATAACTCCTATAGACACGCACGTTCTTAAACAAAAATACATGGCTAGACACTATCCCTGGCTTTTGTTGATCTATGAATGTGACACTTGAAAAGCTTCTGTTGGCAACTTGGCAACAGCAATTTATGTTAAAGTAGAAAACATCTAATGACGTTCTCCATGCTCATCTGATAAGTGTGAACAATAATATACGTATTTACATGTGAATTCCAATTAGCTTACAGACAGGCGGGGAGTTTGCCTCTAACAAGTAAAAAATTGTACAATATACAAAAAGAATATTAAAGGAAAAATGAATAGATTATTTTTGGCTGCTTTAGAAATTAAATATGAAGAATTTCCTAGCCAAAAAGAAGAAAATGTTACCAAACTTGTTTGCAACTTATATTATAATATCCTTGCATCTACATGCACCTCCGTGCTTTTTTAGACCTTACAGACTTCTAACCTTGCAGCACATTTTCTTTGCCTTGTCACCTTGGTTTCCGGGAAGTTGCCATGGCAGAACAAACTCCATGCACCTGTAAGGAAACATACTTTGTAAGATTTTTATACACAAAATAAAAAGATATTTTTCAAGTTACTATAAATATAAACAATTGTGACAGACAGCAAGCAAAAACATGGTTACCCTAAAAGTTTGTTAAATAACTTGAACAAAATGTCAAGGTGTGTACTAAACTAGACTCATCTAGTAGAACACCGATGCAAGAAACTCAACACACTCACTTCAGCGCAAAGTGGTCTTGAGATGGACAAATGGGTCCACACCGACCCCCTAAACAGGCTATCACAGACCACCTAATGGGCAGACTCCCCATGAACCACCATTGGACCCCCATTATACAAGGCTTAATTCGTTTTAACTCATATCACAAAGATCTACAGGTGAAATTTACATAATAGATTCAAATTCAGTAGACAACTGATGTCAGAAATGCAACAAATTTGATTATGACAGGCATTCCAATCCTCAGGTCAGTTGAACCGCTAGTTCATTTAAAAAAACAAATGTCATGGGAGTTTGAATTCTATGAATACTCACAGAATTCAGTAGCTGCGTGAAGTTGAGAACTACTTCTTGTAACTGAGATAGCATGGAGTGCCATACGAGGTTGGTCCTTACTCGGGAAAAAAATCTTCTTACTCAACATTCATTCCATCCTCCTCCTTGACCGGTTCAGATCTAATACCTATAGCCTACTCCAACAGTTCACACATTATTGCAAGCATTTTTCCATGACTTTCTTGTCTAGGAGGCGTTTAATAACACATTTCTTAAGGGACTTTCCAAGAAGTGTTATCAAGTTTCATCAGACTGGCGGCCAGTGGCTGTTGGAGCTAGAAGTTAGTAGCATCAGATTTCTGTCATGGTGATATTTACTCCCTTCAGGATCCTTATTCAAGTTAGGGAGAGACCACAGAAGCCGCTAAAAACTGTCATAGTTACACTTAATGTGGCAGCTACTACTGTACAGGTGTACTACAGGGATTGCTACAATCCGTTGACGTCCTCTCCTCCTCAATTTGATTGTAGAATGGAGCAAATAATAGCCTTATTTTTCTCAGCTTGACCATTTAGCTGTTGATCTCTTCCATTGCAACACGAACAAGGCGCAATAATCCATCCATATCCTGGAAATTGAAATCAAGCGCCATTTTAACAGATGAAATGCCATCTTTGCTCTTATTGTCTCCTGCTTTTGAACTTGCAGCAGCCAAAGCAGCCCTTGAGCTCTTGGAGGCTTCCATTGCAAGACCAACCTCTTGTACCTGTAAAGTAAAAAATAGAGAAAGTTCATTATAAATGGACTTCACCTGGCCCATTAAGAAAATAAGTCATTTCATCCCGAACTGATCGATCTTTTAGGAAGTGCACACCTAAAAAGGAAGCTCACAGAATGACTCTTCTATGCTTATTAAGTTTATAATAATTGAATGTATATTATTACTTCTAAGGTAGAAAAGCATTTAATAAAGTAAAAGTTAATATGGACAAATTTGAAAGATATGAAAAAGAATATGCATTGAATTCTTAAAAGGACAATTACTTTGGCAGTTTGAGACAAAAATAATTGGCTAGAGTGAAAACATTTTTATAATAATTGGCTAAAAAGACAAGAACCTTGGGATAAAGGTATAGATGCAAAATAAAAGATTGATGGATATTAGTGATATTCACTGCTACTTTACATTTCAAATACAATAACACTACCCCAATGCCGCAAAGGCTCCCACCAACGGTGGGGGGTAAGGGGGGTCGGATGTACGCAATCTTACCTCTGCAATAAAGCAAAGAGAGAATGTCTCCGGATGACCCATGATGAAAATCGCGTCGAAAATTGCATGGACTGACATAGTAGTTATCCACATCTTACCAACATATCTGATGACAACCTCAGTTATGTAGCGAGAAAATGAAAACCAATAGGTTTCATTCCAATGTCATTCTAAGAGAATGAAAACCAATAGGTTTCATTCCAATGTCATTCTAAGTTCTAAAGCAGTGTTACTTTTTCCTATAAAAATGGGAAAAAATCTATATATAGACAGAAGCTCCACTGACTTGTTTGGGTAAAATGATTTCTTGAGCGAGTTGAATACAAGATACTTACAAACTTAAGCATCTGTGTGATATTGAAACGGGTTTCCGGTGTCATAAAATTAGCTCCAGTCACTTGAGCAGAGCCAGCACTTTTAGTCAAGCCACCCTTGTCTACAGCTAACGGATTGCTCAAATTGTCAATATCAGAGGCAGAGGAGGAAGGCGATTCACCTAGGATACAATGATAAATATCATAAGAAATTTATCAATGAAGCAACAAATACAAAAAAACAGCCCTATATGGTGAATAGTGTAAAATTCTCATCTATCGTGTTGTAAAGTTGGAATGTTCTCAAATATGGCATCTTAGGTTTGGGATCCGGATCCCCCCAAACTTAGCTTACAAATAACAAACAAACAAAAAGCAACCCCTTTTAGAATAAACCCTTGACCAGTACTATCACACTGATTCGTAGAAAACCCAATGATGATGGTTAATAGGTTATCAATCAATTGAACGTACAGAGGGAGTCATTTCATCAAGAGTGAAGAATATAGTACTAATTGAGTTTCAAATAACCATGGAGAACTATAAACAAAAACTAGTTATTGCAGGAATCATAAAGGCCAGTGTTTCAATATTAAGTAGACTCTGCTACGGAGATTGAACATTTTCCAATTCACCTGGGGCAAAGATTTGAAGAGCTTCCTGTAACTCAGTTCTATATCTACTTGCATCAGAATGTGAGGAATATATTACACGCATGTATGCGACCTCCATGCATTTGTAAGCAAGAGCAGCAGCAGCCATTTCCTTGGATCTTTCATACTCATGAGCACAAAATCTGTTAATAAGATAATAAGAAAACAAATGTTATATTTTACCATTGCTATTCGAATCATTCTTAACACAGTAAAAAACACGAGCATATGACATCCGTGAAGGAAAATTTTAAGTAACTTGGAGCATATACCCACTTGCAGAGATCTGCAGTTTCAATATACATCGCCCGAGTCATCTCAATATGCTTCACATTATTAGTGTTGCATGAATCATATAAAGCTGCTCCAGTGAGAAACTTTAATGCAGCCTGGAAATAAAATCCGGTGCTGTCACTTGATCCAGAATTCTGGAGAGAGAATAGACAACATGTTAGGCCAACATTTATAAATTAATTGTGGCATCCATTTGAAGAATAAAATAAATCCCCTCCCCCTGTCTTGTTTTTTTTACATTCAAGGAGATGATGAGTAACAACTATATTGACCTGGAGACGATCAGCCACATGTTTAAGGTTTTTCGCTTCTTTTACAGCACTTGAAGCAGCTTGATTGGGGGAATCCTTTTGCACTGCAGAGGGAGCATCAACATCACGGACCTTGTTAAGAGTAGGCGTAGAGTGTCTTGAAACATTATGTTGGTCCCTACTGTGGCTCTGAGATTTCTTACCATCCTTAGCCCTAGAAGCATCATATTCAACTTCATCAACAGGCACCAAATTTGCAGATTCCTTTTGTGACCCAGGAATTGACTGTTGAAATGTAGGTATCTCATTTTGGCTTCTAGTAGGTAATGGCTGTAGTGATTTCCCTTTTCCAGATGTAGGGAGTCCATTAGTTCTTCCAGAGATATAATTCTTACAGGACTCATCTCCTCTATTTGGAACTAAAACCTGCCCCTTGTCCAGCCCAGAAATGGTGTCTGCCTTGACATTCCTACCATTATTGTCAGCAAGCTTTAAGTGAACTTCTTCTTTAACACTCCCATTCAAGAATGTGTCACTGTGATCTTTTGCCGAAGTCTTATCTGAATGATTACCAGTTCTCTCCTTGAACTTAATTTTTCCAGCCTTTAATTTTTCACTAGAAGAGGGCATTTGATCTAAAGAATCAATACCACTCAATTTATCAAGTTCACATTTGTAAGACCTAGTCTTGTCTTTAGGTTTAGAAGACGAACCCTTCCCAGAATTCTTCTTGGTGGTTCCATTATTATCATGTAGAGGACCACAACTCCTCTCGCCATCACCTTCCTCCAATATCTGTAATTTAAATGCATTCTGGTCACGTAGAGGCATATTCCCTGCAACTTCATTTTCATAATCTGCTACACTAACAGGTACAGTGCCTAGGTTCATTTTAACACTTGGTGTATTCCCCAAATGCACCTCCTGACGATCATGGGAGTCATTATGAACATCCCAAGTCCCATCCTTCATAGCCATCCCAGACATATTACTGCCCCCACCGCTTTCTCCAACTACCCCAGGAATCCTTAGAGGAGATGACGACACTGACTCTACAGGGGAAGCCCTTAGTTCCAGAGGATTACATTTGTTCTTTTGTGAACCAGAAACTTTAGAAGAGCTTGAAGTGGCAGTCATGGAAGGCTGCAGAATGCCTAGATGCCTTTTTGTAGAATCCATGGCTTGGTACTGCGCTATTTGCTGGTCCTCATTTCTGCTCCTCTCATCTTTTCCTTCATTGAATTTGTTCCCAATAGGATGTTTTACCTCAGGGTTGAAAGCCCTAGCTTCCCTTCCTTTCCTTCCGCCGTTTTCACAAGTTTCTGCAGGCATAAAAGGAACTGGCTTACTGTAGATCTCTGAATGGCGAAGCCTATCCCCTTTCCTCTTAGAACAATCCTTACTGTCGGATTTGCTTGTACGCAGTGATCCATCACCTGAATTAACTGGATTCCCATTTCTTTTCCTCTTCTTTGAAGAGTCCTTACTGTAGGACTTGCTGGCATGCAGTGACTCATCACTTGAATTAACTGGATTATGAGCCTGGAAGTTTTTATCTGAAGTTTTTGAATCTCTATATTTATATTTATGCTGATCCATACCAGAACTTGTGCTAGGTCCTGCACTTTCCCAGGCCTTGCCAGTGGTCCAATTTTCATCATTATGAGGTAAGCCATCTCTTTTCACCTTCTTGGAGGCTCTGGAATTAACCAAATCAGTCTCTAACTTGTTTTTTGTTTTTGCATTTTTTCCACCTGTAAACATCAGATGTTGATTAAGAGTTCAGATTAAACACATAAATGGAGATTAAATATTTTCAGAAAGAGCTCAACATGAACACTTCAAACAACATACCTCCATCAGAAGTTCTGCTGTCAAGCAACCGTTTTTTCACCTTCAGTTTATTGTTTTGCTTCTCAGCAATTGGGGCGCTGGAATGTCTGTAATACTTTTTATGTCCATTTTCATCCGCGGAGGAGTTGACGTTGTCATTTAAACCACCATTCGCAATTTCCTTAAAGTTATTGTTTTTACTTGAAGATGGCATCATCCCTGCTTGTTTGCTTTCATATGAAGAATCTTTTGATCCATGTTTCTTCTTACCACTAGCAACTGCAATTTGTAAACCAAGACTTCTGTTCTCCAGATCTGAATGAAAAACATCAACTGAAGATAATCCCACAAGGTTCCTCTGATGATGTTCATTCTGATTTTTTGTTTGTGTCTCAGAAGCAGGCGTAGTAATGACAGCAGCAGGAAACTGGTATAAAGCTCTTACAGCCATTGTTGTCTCTTCCTCTCTGATACTACAGCGGTTAAGACCCGGCCTAGAAAAATGTAATTACAGTCACTATAGTGCAAGGAATCCATGAAACTAAAAAAACTTTCACCAGAATAAGGGATCAGATTGTTCTATGTAGTTCGTAGTATTTACTTTACTAGTTGAATTTGTCCTCACAAAACTATTATATGGTAACATCATGTATATTCTTATTACTCATAATAAAGGTCTGCCATACTGATCAAGTCATATTATATGCATTGCACAAAAGTACTTACAGCCAGTCAAGCATTTTACAAAGCCAATTCTTGGAGAAACTTTCAGGATCAGTTCCAAGTGGAAGTAGACGCCATTTGTGACACTTATCACACATAACCCAATCTTCTTTGACAAGTGGATCCTCAGCCATTGGAGCAGAAGTAGGATTGGGCTCAACCACAGTGATTGTTTTCATGTTTGGGTCTACGCTATGATGCTCTGTCAAGGCAAATCGCTTCTCAACTTCTGAAGCTTTAGATATCTCTTTCACCACATCAGAACATCCTACCAGGTTAGTACCATTATTAGAATCAGAACCCTTCAACATTTCCAGTGAATGTGTTCCCTCTGAAAAAGCTTTATAATCATCTTGCTCAGCTTCTAGGTTCCCAGATAATCCCGTAAATGAATCTCTAGATTTAGAATGGTTCTTGACACCCTTTGAGTAACTTTTGGATGTACTTGTTCTCCCAGAAGAGCTTCTTTTAGTCTTATGTGCGGAAAAAGAATTAGTCACCAAGCCATCCTCATAAAGATTCTCCTCACGGGCATCATGAATCTGAATCCCTCCGAGTTTCTTCTTGCTTCCAGATGACACTTGTTTCTTGACCAGTCTCATCCCCACCTCTTTTTTTAATGTCATCTTTGAAGCAACTGATGGTCTCGAAAAAACAATTTTGTCAGTATTTGGATCTTTTGTACCTTTGTTACACCCAGGGTTGCTTAAAACATCAGCTTGCTCCACATCTTCATTATTTTCTTTCCTAGGAAATGCTGCACTATAGTCAAAATTGTTTGATATTTCATTTACCAAAACCCCAACAGATAATCCAACTATTCCATTGGATTTATCCACCATGGCATTATTCTTTGCAGGAGAAACATGGTGTAAATCCTCCTTGGCTGTATGATCAATGGATTCCTCCTTCGTAATGCCTTCAGCACTGGTTGTCAAATTATCATTTGTCTTGGAACCACTTACAGGATAACAGACACTACTAATTGACTTGGACAGAAGAGGGAGTTTCATAGTTCTGGATATAAGTTCTTCACAAGGCAAGTTATCACCACTTACGTATCCATTTACTATGGCATCTTTCTCGTGTAAAGTTTGTTTCCTTTCACCCGAGATTTTCTTACTTCCTCTAATGCTATCAAACCTGTTGGCCACTACCCCAGAAGTATCTGCACCAGTCTGATGCATAGGTTTAGCTCCACATTTTCTCCAACGCCAATCTTTTTCTGTCAGATGAATCAAATCATCAGATAGAGGCGATAGCAACAAGCTTCCGTGCATGGGAGATGAGGTCATGATCTGTCCCAAAAGGTTTCCGAAATCAAAATCAATTAGTCTACACCAAAATCTTGACAAATCAAGTATTCCATTCCCACAAAAAAAGACCGACCCGCAAAATGAAGGATAGTTGTAGAGCATAACAAACCTGAAGAATGCTTGTGGGTGATTCATCTGGAGCATCCTGAATTCTGTGAAATATACCTTCACTATCTGTGGGGCTATTATCTAAGGATGAGGATGGAGAAGTATCAAGACCAAGTCCCATGTAAAGCTCTGCATTTTTTGTACTGGACAGATTTTCTGACCCAACTCTGATGCGCACCTTTAGACTTTTCTGCTCAGAGGCATCAGCAGGCTTCTGAAGTGTCTTACATATTGAAGCACACTCCTCAGCTATAGCAGGAGTTATGCATAAGTTGACTCCAGGATTTGGAATAGGAGCCCTACTAGCAGGAACTAGTAGAGCATTTGTGGAAGTTGGAACAGACTTTGTGGATATGAAAGTGCTTGATAAAGAACATGAATTATGTCTACCACCCTATATTATAAGACAAGTCACTCTGCTCAGTGAAATTCGGACCTTTGGTGTCAGGAAACACATATTAACTCTTCCATACAGTTAAACAAAGCTAATACAACTATACAACCTAAAGGTATCTACCTCGTAGAGTGTAAATTTGGGGGATCTTGCTATGGTATTGTTGGGGACTTCCAGTGCAGTCTTTAAATCAGGCACAGGCGGTGAGCGCTGATAAGTGGGCAAAAATGAACCGTAGCAACCATATTTTGACCCTGCCAATGAATGGTAACTCCAAATCATCTCATAATGAACAATAGTAAGGCAAGCATTCTTGCAAATCATTTTCCTTGTGTTTAACTACTTACCCAGAATTTCAGGGGTCACCATTCCTTCAAAATCCTTCTGAAAATGTCCTAAAACATGCTGAATTTTCTCGTCCTTCAGATAAAGTAAAAAGTGTAAAGCATCAAGAGTACAGAAAATTAAACTCTACTGTTAGAGAACGTCTCAAGTTTTTTCAAATTCAAAGGTCAAATATAGCATTTTGAAAGTACATAACTGCAAGACAACTATCTGGGTTTTCTTAAACACTAAATAAAACCACACCGGTTATAATGTTTGTTAAACATCAACTAGCACTTCTCTGCGCAGGAAACGTGTTAAACAATCTGTAACAGCTGAAAAGATGGGGATTTAACATAACAAGACAATAGGCGCCCCTAGTATCTACACAGTGGGATTAGCTAAATGAACTAATAATTAAATGTTTACAATTAAAAAGGGACAGTTTAACCATAAAAAACTCCAGGAAAATATGTACTCAATATTGACTGGAATTGAAAATTATATTGGTAATGAGAAACTCACTATGTAGGACAGAGCAATTTCAGGGTCAATGATTGAATCATTATCACACGCATTATTATTATTATTTCCATAACAGCAAGCCTCTCCTTCCTCAAGCTCAAGGTCTTCCATCTCGCTTCCAACACTTAGCCCGTTCCTTACATCGCACTTTCTAACATGAATCATCCAGAAACACCTCCAAGCACTCTCAGGAAGCGGGTGACTTCACCAGCTAAAACATAAACGACACAAGCTTCCACAACCGGTTCTTGCCAGCAAAACCGGACAATAATCTATCCAGGATCAATCAGGATCCAGAGAGAGAGCAAATAACTTATCAAAATTTTAAGGCACAAAGAGGAGAAGCTAATTTGTTTGAATTATTATTATTAATTCAAAGTTGAATCTGAGGAACTTGCCAGATGATACTGCAAGAGGAAAAAAAATAGAACTTGGATCGTCCTGTGCAATCTCTCCAGCTCAAGGCGATGAGGACAGAGAGAAAACGAATGCGATGAGGACAGAGAGAAAACGAATGCGATGAGGAGCGAGAGACAACGAGGAGACCAAAGACCAGGGAATTACAGTGGAGACCTTGGCTTTGGTGGAATTGAGTTAATCCGCCGCGTTCTTTTGCCCTTCTCTCATAAAAATTTAACCATTTTAGAAAATATGGTAGGCTTAAGTGCTTAACCACAACATATAACATACTTCTTCAATTAAGATAATCATTGTTTTTCTCACTAGCCATGTACCATGGGTATACTTTTATACTCCGTAATTATTAGGGAAAAATGTCAAATACGCCCTCGAACTAAGTTAAAAAGTATAAATCACCACTTAATATAGAAAGCTTTGTTCGACCGTCGTCATTTGGGGGGTTCCCGGTGGAAATTTTGATAAAATTTTTTGAGCATCTTCATCATTCAGTATAATTTACTCATATCGAATTTCAACTAAAAATTCAATCGAGAAAGCGGTCAAATTAATTTTTGAAGATAGCTGTGTAGTTAACCAGCGCAATACATTTCAAAAAATCATTTGACTGTCTTTTCAGTTAAATTTTTATCTGAAATTTGATATGGATGAACTAGACTTAATGAACAAGATGCTCAAAAAAATTCATAAAAAAATTCCACCGAAAACCACCTCAAATGGCAACGGCCAGACAGAACCTTCTATATAAGGGATGATTTGCACTTTTTAACCTAGTTCGATAGTCTATTTGACCCTTTTCTCTAATTACTATTGATATAGAATTTAAACATAACATAGCTTTATTAAGTCACTTTTGTCCATTTTTATTATTTCGATCATATATTAAGAATCATTTCATATTTTATAACCAAATATAAGTACTATATTTATGGGCTATAATAGCGATTTGTTCGTTATGAACAATTCCTTAGTTGTCTTCAATAATTAAAATCAAAAGTTGATAAAAGGTAATCTTTTATCTTTGCCTCATCTTTTCATTTATATACTCACTAAATTTATCTCATATTATATTTGATAAATATATTTCATTTACAAAAATATTTCATTTATGAAAAGTATTACTTTTGTCCCAAAATACTTAGTCATCTTTAAAATTTTGGCCAATTATAGATTTTTATTGAAAACTATTCATAATATAAATATGATACGAAAATGTTTTTTAAAATGCTTTCATAAAGGTACAAAATTTATAACTTTTATATTATTATACTAATCAAAATTATGATTCAAACTAAGAGTTGACTAAGTATTAGGGAACAGTGGTAATATTTTTTTAAAAAGCATATCATTTTTTCACATTTCAAACATAGTTAGGCACAAAGAAGTACTAAAAATTGCTCTAGGCGTCCGATTAGTCCTCGCCTAGGCGCTATGCGGTGGTCAGACGTCCCGATTTTAGTCTAGGCAATCCGATTAATTGGTTTAGTGCCTAGGTGAATTAGTTGGTCGCCTATGACGCTTAATTGACCGCCCAGAACGCTTAATCGGTCGCCTAGGGTACCAAGATTAGTCAAACTTCTTTTTTTGCCTTTTTTAGCTTTTAGAAATTACACAATATAGGCAGGGGCGGATCTACTCTTGTTGTAGGGGGGGCAGCTGCCCCCAATAAAGGCCCACTAAACCCTCCTAAAATTTTAAAAAATATTAAAAGCCCAATAGATTGCCCCCAATAAAAAAAAATGGCCTGCCCCCAATAACCCAAAATCCTTCAGCCTGCCCCAAAATCCTTTCTTCAAAATACTTTGCGCAGAATACTTCCCCCGTTCGACGACGACGCGCCTAAGCTCCTTCCCGTAGAAAGCTCTCTCGACTCTCGCCCGACGCCCGCTCGCCGGAAGCCCGGAACCATCGCCAATCGCCACTTCCGCAGCCCCGCAGGCCGCAGGCGCAGTCCGCTGTCCGGCACTCCGGCTGTCCCGCTGTCCGCACTCGGCACTTCTCCAGTCGCCACTCGCCACTAGGGTCTAGGTAAGCCTTTAATCTTTTCAATTTTCACTTTAATTTTTTCAATTAGATTAAATGTAATTGATGAAATTGTTAAATGAAATGTATTAAAACAGTTAATTTTAATTTTAGTTAGTGAAATTGTTAATTATATCAATTTTAGAATGTTTTATAATATTTTAGGTAGTTAAATGAAATGTATTAAAACATTTAATTTTAATTTAACTTCTTTTCCAGACTCAATGAAGAGATATTGGGCTACCGTTCCTTCACCGGGTAGTTCAAATAATAATGCTTCAAATATTGCATCTCAATGTTCTTCATCAATACCTAAACAAGTTGATTTGGATAAGCTTCCCTCAGATCCCGCAAAAAGAAGGAAAATTTCTGAGTACCATCCTAATCAAATAGATGAAAATAGTGAAGACTAATTTTGCGTAATAGAATTGGCGATAAGTATTTGAGTGATTGTCTGATTTGTTTCATTGAAAGAGATGTGTTTGAAACTATTACAAATGAAACTGTAATGGATCTCTTTCAAAAGATGAAAACTCGACGCGAACAATTGTGATGTATTTTGTAAGACATTAATTATTGTAATATTACATTGCTACTTTATTATTATTTTTTGTGATGCATTTTTTTCTGCCCCCAATAACTTCTAATCCTGGATCCGCCACTGAATATAGGTCTAAAACATACACAAAAAATAAGTTGATTAAGACCTTCAAAACAATGAGTGAATGAGTCTTATTTTGGGAATAAAACAATGATAATTATATTTATGATCCTTATCCTTGTTTTAGTCATATTTAGGGAATCTTCTCTTTAGTTTTCTAAGAGACATATGTTACCTTTAACTTTCACAACACATACGCGGAAAACTACTAGTTGTAGATTATGATAAAACTATACATGTTTGTATATAATTTTAAATGTTATTATTATTTAATATATTTACTATATAATGAAGTTAAGTAAGTATTTATAATATATTATTAAATGTTATAACTCTATCATTCATGCATTTTAATGTGTATGTGTGTGTATTTTTTATACACACACAAATACAACATTACTAATCGTATTTATGAAGAAAAAAATTGATAAACAATAATTTGTATGTCTCGGACTAGTCCCCGCCTAGGCACCCATCTAGCCGCCTAGGCGCCCGTCTAGCCGCCTAGGCGCTAGGCGCTGGGTTGGCGCCCAACTAGCGCCTTTTAGAGTACTAAACAACTTCATAATTACAACTTTTTACGGTGAAAAATAATACAACTTTTACGGTTTAAAAATAAGACTAGCTCTTTGCAAATTTAAATCTTTAAAATATGTTTATCAACACTTTGTCACTTAAAGCCATTTCTTTAGATTCAATAGGTTTTCTAATATACTTTTTCATATGAATCATACACTGATGGAGTATGTAATTCTGGATTCACGGTCCACGTACTCATAAGGCACTTGATTGGCCCTCTTTTCACAGTAAATAACTCCATGTTGATCCGTTTTAAGGATTCAAAAGTTATTTCTCCACTATAGCTATTGGTCTATAAGGTTTTTATTGTGTGTTTCGTTTTATTAATGTCAAGCTTACCCTTGCTTTATTGTCATTTTATAGAGGCAAACTTCATAAAAATAATCCCTACTTTCATGAATTTTACCAGAATAATCCATACCGAGAGTTCATAAAAATAATCTAAACTAGCAAACATGTCCACATGCTAAAATAAACTAGGTGAATCCCAACTAATGCCTATTGAATACGTGTTCTCAATCCTTACCCCCACTTTTCACTTCCTCACTCTTCACTTCGGATGGCACTTTTATCCTTCAACCTAGGGAGAGTCACATATGATGGAAATATGGTTGAAATTAAATGGACATTAGTTTAAATTTGATCCGAGAAGAAGATTAGAGAAGGATAAAGTAAGAGTAGGTATTGGAAGTATTAAAGTGGCGATAGTTTGAATTCACCGCAATTTATTCATGCGACACAATTAGTAGTTCGGATTATGTTTATGAACACTCCTCATAAAAATTACTATTGCGGATTCTCTCGAAAGTAGTATTATTTTTATGGATTCGACCTTTTATATATGCCATTACGTATTTTGTTCATCTTCATTTTCTCAATTTTCTCCATCTTCTTCTACTATTTACAACTCTTGACACATTTATGATTCTCACATAATCAGGTTATTATAACTTCTAATTCTAAATTACTGCCACCTAATTCAAAAGATTATTTAGATCTTCAAAGAAAATTTAAGATCATTTAAGATGGTATTCATAAGATGTTCAAAGAATAATTCTTCGGGGTGTTTAAAGGATTTCTTAAATTAATGAAAAATGTGCGGGTGGTAAAAAATAATCAACAAAAATAATAACATTTGCGCCTTAGTCTCAGAAAAAATTAGGGTCAACTAACATGAGTCAATATATAAAATTGAAGTTAAAAAGAATAAAAAGAGATCAATCATCGACGTACATTTTTCCCTGTCATTACGTTCTCTTCAAGGTCACCTCCCATTCAACCCGATAAGTATCATATCATTTCTGACTACTCGAATGCACACATGTTTGAATCGTTTTTCCTCCTCCTCTACGCCTCTTCTTCTCCGTGCTTAATTCGTCCAACAAGTGCATCATTAAGTCTTCTACATGGGCTTGCTTGGATGATTGTCAACGTGACAAATTGTTGATCAATTCATATTGGTGTTGTCCTAGAAATTGTCTAAATAGGAGGAAAGCAATGTAAATTTTCAAAATTATAATTTCACATTTTTTATGTAAATAGAATTAATTATTGGCACTCTTGAAAAATATTGTCAACCACTACATATATGATTAATAATATCATATTAATGTGTGATAATAGTCAAAGTATTTTGAATGCTCACGTGATATTTTCTCATATTTTACTTTTAGGCATACTATGTTGGAAATGGCAATATTTTCCGAGCAAACTTGAATTGGTTACTAATAATTAAAAAAAAATGAAACAAATCTTTAGTGTCTTAATGGACTTAATTGAAAATAATGACTTAATCATTCAGTCATGTTTACTTATGACTTAATTGAAATGATGGCTAGATCGTTCAGCAAAAACTTACTTAATCGTTCAGTCAAAAAATTGACTTAATCATTAAGGTGAAAATAGTAATCCTTCTCATTAAGACATCTTTTCTGTCATTTT